GAAGTTCACCGTTCAGCCGGGGATTGGACAGCCTCATAAAACAAAACAGAACTAATGAGGCACAGCAGTCCAGGGACAAGGACTAGAAGGCAGGAGGGGACAGGAAAGCTGGTGATAGGGAACCCAAAGTTGAGAAGGGCCAGTGTTGACATGTCATGGAGTTGTTAACCATTGTCATGGGGCAATATGTGTACTAACTGTTTAATGAGAAACTATTTGCTCTGCAAACCTTCATCTAAGGTCCAAAAAAAAAAAAAAATTATCTATGTGAGATCAAATTGACAACAGCAAATCAAAAGCTTCGATGGGAAGCCTAGGGGAGAGTGAGTTGAAGATAATGGTGATGGAATAATTTGGAAGAGGATAGTGAGAATAGCAGCACAACAGGAAGAATGTAATCAATGTCAATGAATTGCACATGTAGAAACTTTCAAAATGGTGTAACTTTGGCTATGTATATTTTCACCAAAAAAAGGTACTCAAGGTCGAGAAAGGAGAGTGTTGACATGTCGTGGGGTTGTTAATCAATGGCATAAAACAATATGTGTACTGACTGTTTAATGAGAAACTATTTGTTCTGTAAACCTTCATCTGAAGTACAATAAAAAACTGAAAAAAAAAAGGAATCTAAAAAATAGGCATGAGTACAAGAAACAGAGATAGGCAAAGAAATCATAGCTTACAGTTAAACTTAAATACATGCTGATAATAAAAATGATAAATAACAATACGGAATGAAATTTCAGTTGACCTCAACACTGGAAATGGTGGGGGATTAGGAGAGGCAAAGTAAAAGTATGCTAAGGTTCTTAATTTGTTAAGGGGGAAGATATAGAAAAATATAGACAAAATTTAGACACTGAGAAAAATATAAATAAGCTTAAATATTTGAATGTAAACTACAAGCATAACCACTAGAAGCATACAACTTGAGAGAGAAGATGGAATAGTAGCACAGCAAAACAAAAGAGCACAAACTAACATAAAGCAAGCAAGGAAAAAAAAAGAAACTATGATAAGTGGAAAAAATAAGATAGGCAGAATAGCTCCATACTGTTACAGTAATAATAAATACAGTTTAAAGTCACCATTAAAGATCAAGGAATCAGGGTTTGGCTAAAAAGGCGTAACTAGCTATATTCTATTTACCAGCTCCATACTTAAAAACAAATTGTAACAGGGAAATTTAATGAAGAGATGAAGAAAGGTAAACCAGATAGGTCTAACAGAAAAAAAAAAAAACAACAACCAGCAAAAATAATTTCAGGGAAAATGGAACTAAAGGAGAAAAACATTTAAAACACAATGAGGAATATGTCCTATTGACAAAAGATATGATCCACTAAGACCAACCTGAGCTGCTAGGATCAAAATGCTCTTGCCTTTAATTTCTGACATCTTATTGCTGGATTCACAGGTGTGCTATATTATAATTGCTTCCTCATGTTCTCCCTAGTTGCTAATGGACGTAATAACTACTAATGGACGTAAAGTACGTATGTGCTTTATGGGGAGATAACCACCCTTAGTGGGATAAAAAAGGAAGGGTTGTTCTCTGGCACCAGTAAATCTAGCCAACTCTGAACTGGGGCAATAAATAATAACCATTCCCTGAAAGGAGCCTTCCACTTTTATTACCACATTTTACCTCTTATTAAGGAGCCCTGGTGGCGTGGTGGTTAAGGGTTTGCCTGCTAACCAAAAGGTCAGCAACTCAAACCCACAAGCTGCTCCTCGGGAGAATGATGTGGCAGTCTGCTTCGATAAAGATTTATAGCCTTGGAAACCCTATGCGGCAGTTATACTCTGTCCTATAGGGTCGCTATAAGTAGGAATCTACTGGATTTGGCTTTTTTTTTTTTAACATTTTATTACCCCTTTTTTGTCTCCCTCTCCCTACCTACTCTCTCTACATGCTGTTTGGTATGTAGACATGGCTGTCCAATTAGTATTTAATGCTGGGAGAGAAGAACTTAAGGGCTCTCCTCCCAAGACGTGAACTGGGACGTACTTGGATGCAATTTAACCCTGTAGATGAGAGCCTAACTTCAGGGAACCTAGGCTGATGATGGAAGCCCTGGTGGCGCAGTGGTCAAGAGTTCAGCTGCTAACCAAAAGGTCGGCAGTTCAAATCCACCAGGTGCTCCTTGGAAACCCTGTGGGGCAGTTCTATTCTGTCCTATAGGGTCTCTATGAGTCAGAATCGAGTTGACGGCAACAGGTCTAAGCTCTGCTCCAAGCGGTCCTTCATTAAGAACTTGTGACTGTAGTGACATTGCACTTGTCTTCATAGAGTTGGGTGTCTGTCTAGCCAGTGAACAAAACAAATCCCCTGCCTTCATGGAACTTTTGTTATAGTGGAGGAGGAAGAAAGACAAAAACTAATTACAGTATTTTAAATGGTGATGAATGATAGAGAAAAATAAAACAGGGAAGCAGGATGGGGATGAAATTTCAAACAAGGTAGTAAAGGAAGGCCTTACTGAGAAGGTGACATGTTAGAAGAAACCTCAAGTTTGCAAGAGGAAGCAACCTTGCAGATTTCTGAGGGAAGAGAGTTCTAGGCAGAGCAAATGGGCACTATATACAATTAAAGCCAAGTAAATTAACTGGGAAGGAGGTGCTAGTGAAGTAAGTAGAAAACCAGTACCATGTGGTGCTTTAGAAGCCAAATGAAAAAAGTGTTTCAAGGAGGACAGAGTAATCAACTGTGTCAAAATAGCTGACATAACAAATAACATGAAGACTGAGAAATGACCGGTATTGGATTTAGCAAACGGAAGCCATACCAGACTTTGACAAAAGCAATTTCAGTGGAGTGGTGGGCCTAAACCTAACAGGAGCAGGATTCAAGAGAGGAACTGGAGCAGTAAATACAGTCAACCATTTCAAAGAAATTTTCTGTAAAGAAGAGCAGATAAAATGGCAGTATCTAGCAGGGGAAGTGGGATCGAGATGGGAGAGATAGGCAATAATGGAAAGAAAAACCAGGCATCCATGAAACAGAAAGGAAGGTTCTCTCCCTGAAAGCTTTTAGGAAGTTTCCAAATAAAACAGATGAGACCAGCTATCTGAAAAATGATAGAACTTAAATGATTACTAAAGGGAAGGGAATTTTAGAAACGTCTGGAGTCCAATCAAGGAGACCTGGATTTAATATTAGAGGTAAGTATATTGGATTGTGAATATAACTAAAATAGCGTAAGCCTCCTTGATTGTATTTTATCCATGTGAGGACTGTGTTAAAAGACTTGAGTAAGATTCATAAAACAAGAGTTTGAGAGACAAAATGTGGCAATGTGTTTTCAGCAATGTCCAAGGGGAAGGATATACTGATTAGTGGACTTGAAAAATGGGTTCATTTTGCAGATACATTTTTTTTATTTTCATCATGAAGATGGGTATATCTGGAGTCTATTAGGTCACTAAAATCATCCAAATGATGCCAGGACCATTTATTATTAGTGGTAGTTTCCCATATAGATTCCCTACAAGAGGAGAGTGTGTTTATCAGTGTGTCTGCTCCTGAGGATACCTTGCCATTATATATCAGTAAATTTGCATTCTGGTTTATTCCGTATTCTCAAGTGAGTTTGGTTCTAACAGTCAGCAGCCTGGAACTATCTAGTTATACAGAAACAAAAGGGACCTACGCAGCTAAGGGCTAATTAGTTATTATACTACGGTAGAGTCAACCTGGGCCAACCATCATTAAGCCTCCCAATTGCTTACCTCATCCTTCACCATCTAACGATGTTTGAAATACTGTACTGAGGAAAGAGCACTGGTCTTAACACTTAGAAAGCCATCTAAGACTCTATGAAGAATAGACCCACAACCCTGAAGAGTGTCCCGTAATCTCTGAGGTCCTGTTTACATACCTTTTAAGATGGGAGTAACAATAGCTATTCTATCTCAGTAGTTTGTTTTGAGGCTCAGAATCTAAATAACATAAGTATGAGTCATTTGTAAAACACTAAAGGGGTATATGAATAGAAGGTATTGACACTGTCATTATTACATGCCCTGCAGCCTGAGTACATAATTGATATACTAATGCACATTACCACAATTATCTGAGAACTGAAGACAAGATGAAAAATCACTAAGCCACTGAACAAAATATGGGAAATCCTACCTTTCAGCCACAGGTTTAGCAATGCTTTCAAAAATGGCCTCTTGTTTTGCATCCTGATCAAAAATTCTTTGAAATCTGCAAATGTTAAAATGATAGTTATGTCACAGCTGAGCCTTCAAACACTACTGGATTAATAAATCTTGTTTATCTGCTTTGTAAATTACCCCATATTTACATCACTGGGCTTACCTAACTTAACACAATGTTTGCCCTGTAGTCCCAGCCACACTGTGCTGTTGTACTCCTGTACTCAAATGGTTGGTAAACAGTATTGCTTTGACAAGATCTGCACAATAAATCCCTCTGAAAAACTGCAGCCGCTTTGAACCAAATAATAAACTGTGTGTTTTTTTGGTTCTCAAGAGGGACAGTGTCTACAACTGGCATCAAATTCAAATCTAGATAACTGCACGAAATGGAAACCCAGGAACAGGATATAAACAGCCAAAGAACTTGATGTCTGACCTGTAAGAAAAGAAAGCAACTGTGAAATGTATGATTATTGAACTTACTTTTAAAAATTTGCACTGAGATGTATTTTCCACTAATTAGGCACTGTATCTTAATATTTATTGGTCACTTAATTCTCAGGATGGTTTTGTTAGTTTTGTTTTGTTGACCACTAGTAAAAAGTCAACATGTAAATTAAGATAGATACGCCCTGCACAGAGAAGTCTGTATCAGATTGGCAATGGCTAGGGATGTGAGAAGGTGGTATGGTGTCAAGTTCATTCTTCTTGCAAGACCATTCTGACTTAGCTTAGTACAGGATCACAGCACAGTGGAATACCTCGGGTAGGAAAGATACAACCTATTCTTTTACAGTGCGGTAAGTTGCTACCAGTCAGTATGGCCCTGATGAAAACATCACGATGACGAAAGGAAGGAAGGAAGGCAGAGAGAGAGAGAGAGAAACAGAAAGCAAATGAGGTAAAATATTAATAATTGACATATCTCTCACAAAGGGCATATGAGTGTTGACTGGGCTCTTCTTCCACCTTCTCTGCAGATTCTAAAATTTTCAAAATAAAAATTAGGGGGAAAAACTTTAAAGTAAAAACTTTAAAACAAACACTTGTCCTAAGTAGCTTTCAGAGTGGCTTAGGAAACTTTGATCAATGTGGCTGCCTATGTAAGTGAAAAATAAATAAAATAATGAAAAAAGTAAAATGTGGGACCATTTTCACTACTGAGGAGTTCAGAAGGATGTCTGGAGCTGGACTGGAAATATAAAATGGAATGAAATCCATTGTCTTTAGTCAATACGAACTTCAAAAGATTCCTAACGCTGAGCAAGCCCCTTGCCCCCCCTTTTTTGGAGAAGCAAATAAATGAAAGCGTATACAAAGAGAGATTCTAAAATACTCTGGATACTATGTCACTTAGCAGGCAAGTCTGTATCTTAGACAGCAGTATTTACCGAGTGTTCGTTGTACCCAGAACACTCCTCAAAACCCTAAAAGTGTATCAGAGCCTCAGATATGGATACTGACGTAACAGGGGCTGTGGCTGCCCACGTGTTCCTCAGAGCATTGTCTACAATGATGTCTGTGCACAGACTCTTAGCAGTGCCTTTGAGGAGGATGATGATATGGCTGGTTTGCTTCTCTACCAGGCTGGTAATGGCTAAGTGAATCAATTAGTCATTCTTCCTTAGAATTAGCCATTCTTTCTTAAACAATAGAATCACATATACTACCCTGTAAACCAACGAGGGAGCCCTGGTGGATAAGTGCTCGACTGCTAACCGAAAGATTGGCAGTTTGAACCCACCAGCCACTCCACAGGAGAAAGATATGACCATCTGCTTCTGTAAAGATTTATAGCCTTGGATACGCTATGGGGCAGTCCTACTTTATCCTACAGGGTCATCGTCAGCAGTGAGCTTGATTTGATTTAAACCGAAGAGATGGCTGAGTTTTAAACAAGGCACTGAATCAAACACAAAATCTATACTGAAAGGTACTTTATCCAAAATTAATTATAGGATTTTCATTCACTAACTGATCTATTCATTTCGCAAACCTGTATCGACTGCCTACCATGTACCGGGCACTTCTAACAAGCTTTAAATTTGACAACAATGTAATTTTATTACAATACCTATAAAGCATATTGAATTTCTTGGGGAAAAACGACATCCTCTACTATTTAAAATAACAGGCAATACAACTACAAGCAGTCGAGATTGCCTCAGTTCCTTGGATTTTCCCCACACATTCTGGAAGTGAAGATTTTAGCACCAATGTTTACAGTAAATCCTATGATGCGTATTAAACATCAAATATCATCATCACAAAATACTGCGTTTTCTACAATGTAGTTACATAGTAATCTGAAAAGGCATTGTGATCAGCAATCTTCTGAAAACCACTGAAACGAAAAATAAAATCACAGAGTTAGACAGGATTTTAATGAATTCAGTCTAATCTTTTACAAAGGAAGAAGCTGAGGCCCACAAAGACAAAGTAATTTACTGACATTCCTGAAGCTAATCAATAACATGCTTTGTGACATAACTTAGATTTCTTGATTCCTACAAGGCCCTTTCATTTATTAGGAAGTCGTATAACTTTTTCTAAAATCCATTTCAAATCCATTTACTCTCAGAGGAGATTAGCATCTTCTGATCTCCTCTCTCTCCAAACCTGCTCTCCCTGTAGTCTTCCTCACCCCAGGAACTGACAATTCCATCCTTCTAAATGTTCAGTTCTTGGGCCATCTTGACTCCTCTCTTTCTATTACACTCTATATCCAACTCATCAGCAAATCCTATCAGCTCTAACCTCCACATCACATCCAAATCCAACTATTTCTCAATATTCTCACTGCTACCATCCTGCTTTAAGCTGCCATCATTTCTCGCCTGGGTTACTGAAATAGCCTAACTGGTCTCTCTGGCCTCTGCCCCCAGTCTGTTTCCCACATATCCCCAAGAGTGAGCCTGGTAAAATGTAAGTGAGATGATTTCATTCCTCTGCTCAAAACCCCCCATCACCTTCCTGTCACACTTTGGGAAAAAGCCCAAGTCCTTACGATGACTTATAAAGCTCTATAAGATCTGGCCCCCTGCTACTTCTTTGACCTATCTTCTTCTCCCTTCTCCCTTTCTTACTCCGCCCAGTCATACAGATCCCTCTAGGATTCCTCAAACATGCCAACCACTTTCCCATCTCCAGGAGTTTGCACTTGCTGTTCTCTCTGCCTGGATTTCTCATCCCTCAGATATTTGAGTGGCTGGCTTCCTCACCTCCTTCAGGTCTTTGCTCCAATGTCACCTTTACTGTAGCAACTTCCCTGACTGCTCTATTAAATATTGCAGCCATCCTTCCCCTCTTCCGCTCTGCATTCCAGCACTCCTTAGTCCCCTCCCCTGCCTTATAATGGTATTTAGCTCTTTCTGGCATACAATATATTTTACTTATTTATCTGTTTGTCTTTCTCCTCCCACTAAAATTGTAAGCGCTATAAGAGTAGGGAGTTTGTTGTGTTTCTTGCTGTGTTCCTGACCTCTATAACAGCACGCAGTGGGTGTTCAATAAATATTTATTGATTAAATGAATTTGCTTGAGGGGAAAACATCCTTTAAGATGTTTAAATATTTATCTCTGAACATATGTACATGTATTTTATTAATTTCTTTATTTTAAATTTTAAGATGAATATTTTTGATTCAGAGATTTAGAAAGAATAATTCAGAGATTTAAAAATAAGCAAATGGTTTTTTTTCAATAGAAGATGTTTAGATGAGCTCTGTTTATATCTATACAGTTCAAAGACTACTTCGGAAAAAGCCAACAGACAGAGACATGGTCAATTGTTTCTTAATAATCAAATAGAATCATGCTGAATAAAATGTTTCAGAAATTGTTGCTTCATAAAGACCGGTCTAAGCCAGCTGTTCTGAAGTCACAGCAACTAAGGTATGTAGCATGCTTACATCAATAGGAGAATGCTCCCTTCACAAAAAGTACCTCATGCATTAATTATAGCCTACTCCCTACAAGATATAGTGAAAGACACTGGGGAGTCACAAAGACTAGGTGAGGACTGCCTTTACTATGCAACATGTACTAGCAATTCCTGCTTGTACTTATTGTAACAGGGGGTGTGATACGAAGAAGGGATGGAGGTGGGGGGAAAGATGCATACATGAGAGACAGACAAAGGGTGGAGTTGTGAAGACTGAAAAAGACTCTTTAAGAGACAAAAAACTAAGAGCAAATAGTAATTTAAAAGAAAAGAGGGACACAAATCACATGAAGTATCTAGAATGGTTTTATCCAAGGGGAAAGGGGCAGGAATAGTCTCAAAACAGGGCCTATGTAACACACAGCCTAGAGAGAAACGCAAGAGAGCAATTAGGATTCCTTCAGCAGGACCCAGAAGTCCACCATCAAAATCTGGGCCAGAGGTCAAATACAGGTTTAACTCAGACTCAAACATCTCCAAAAATTAAAGTAGCGAAGAAAGGAAATGGTTTCATCTAAAACTGGAGAATAAAGACAGTATGAAATAACCATAATCTCCAAATTCAAGGCCTGACTACTAGAAGAGTATTCAGATCAAAGGCACTAATGATAATCCTTAGGAGCCCTGGTGGTGCAGTGGTTAAGCCCTCGGCTGCTAACCGAAAGGTCAGCAGTTCAAACCCACCAGTCACTCCTCAGGAAGAAGATGTGGCAGTCTGCTTCGGTAAAGATAAAAGCCTTGGAAACCTTAAGGGGCAGTTCTCCTCTGTCCTATAGGGTCGCTATGAGTCGGAATTGACTGCCAGCACACAACAACGACAATCCAGAGGTTGCCATTTGGTGCTTTCCACCTGAACCATACAGCTCAGTGCTATCCGATACAACACGATGCCTAAATGTGAGTGTATACGTAATTTTAAATTTTCTAGTAGCCACATTAAACAAAAAGATACAGGGTGAAATTAATATTTTATTTTACTTAATATATATGGAAAATATTATCACTCCACTATGTACTCACTATGAAAAACATCTTAGGATACCTTACATTTCTTTTCCGTATTAAGCCTTCAAAATCCTTGATGTATTTTACATTCACCAAAACAAAAAAAAAACCACCAAACCCATTTCCATCGAGTTGATTCCGACTCATAATGACCCTATAAGACAGAGCAGAACTGCCGCATAGGGTTTCCAAGGAGCGGCTGCTGGATTTGAACTGCCAACTTTTTTTTGGTTAGTGGCTGGACGCTTAACCACTGTGCCACCAGGGCTCCTTTACACTCACAGCACATCTCAATTCGGACTAGCCACATTTCAAGTGCCCAAGATCTACGTGTGGATTGTGACTACTATACGGGCTGCACAGATATAGAATGTACATAAGTGCACATGAGGTTCATGTATCATTTACATAATAGTGAAAGCTCCCCAGTACAGCACACATATTGTTCCTTAAATTCTTATCTTTATAAAGCTTAGCCATGCACTGAATTTCCTGTAAGTGCTGAACTATAGTGCGTCAAGTAGGAAAAAGGACAAGACAAGATAAACAGAGGTAGTAAAGAAAGGCTGGGATTTTGGAATATGATCTTGGATACAGAAATATACCCTCTTTTCAACCTTGGGCCCAACTGTGAAAAGATAATTTGAGTTCTGTCTGCTAAATGAGACAGGGAACCACACTACATTCTCCACAAGGAACAGTACAAATGACTTCACAGTGGACATCAGTCCAATACCAGAGCTAGTTCAATAACAAAACAGAAGCAATGGAGAAAGATAAACTTACCTAAATTTGTAGTTTTCTCGCTTATTATTTACAAATCCATCTGCCGAATCACGTGGTAAGATAATTTCCAAGCTAGGTATTAATTTTTCATCTTCATCTATGGAATAAATCTGTAAATATGAACACAAAAACTGAATAACAAATGGTAAAATTATGGCTTGACCTATGACTATAGTATTGACATGCATTAGAATGGTTTACAAATTGTACTTTTAAGATAAAAAGTCATAATGTAGTATAACTTCGACAATTTTCCTCTTTGAACTGTGTGTGGACTCAAATATATGGAATTGAACAAGAGGTAAAACCTAAATAAATGCTCTATCAAAGCTCAGATGATGTTTGAATGATCTAATATTCAAATTTGAGCATTTGAGTGTCTCTGCTGTTGTTCTTGAGAAACCAATAGCCTTGATAGTAGCAAAGTATCTAAGTATTGCTTTGGGACTGTGTATCAGAAATTAACATTTTACTGCATCCAACAAATATTTCTGAACAATTATAAAATGTTAGACACAGAGATAAAAGGACTAGGTCAGCCTTCTCAGAGAGCTCATAAGAAAGCTCTAATTCAAGTTTCATCTAAAGATGAAAGAACCCCAAGCTTCCATAAGACATATTCAGGCATTTGATAAAAGAAGTATGGTTTCAAAAGACACATATAATACGTGTCTTTGATGCCTTTTTCAGGGTTCTTATCCCAGCTCAGCCACTAATTGGCAAGTGACCTGGGGGTAAATCACTTAACCTCTCTAAGGTTATATGGAAAGAGCATCTTAACCAACACCCTTACAACTGTACCATTCTCTGATTCTCTTCTTGGTTACTTACTCCTCTAGTTACTGGTCAGGAAAATCAAGTCAAATCTATAAAGAGGTCATGCGAAATAAGGAAAAGCATATTTGGTGTCAAAAGACCTGGGTCCAATGCTGATCTCAATTCACCAGCTCTGTGACCAGTGACTGCTTTCAGAATCTCAGTTCCTTATATATAAAACGAGGAAAACAGAATTGCCTCCCTCACAAGATTGCTGCAGGGATCAAATGATGTAATGGAAATGGAAGCATTTTGTAATGCATCATAAAAATGTTAGTTATTAGATTTAGAGGTTTTTAATAAAGAACCCTTGTCTTTCACCAGGAAATAGAATTCTTTCAAACAGGCAATACTTCCTGTTTTAAGATCCATTCAGATGCTTGATTATGGGAGAAAAGTCATATTCTTAAGCAAGTAAAAGCCTACCTAAATCTCCAGAAAGTCTGACTATTTTTCCTAAGCAGGTTTTTATTGAAATCTCTCATTTAAAACATGAAGACTCCATGTAGAAAAGTCACTCTATAAAAAGAAATTGTTTGTAGATATTAATGACATCAGGTTCAAGGCTTTCTGGCTAGGTTTTCTCAAGAGACATTTAAAAATTATATTCCATAGGGCACTACCTTAAAGAAAAAGTTTCATGGCTCAACAGGTGCGTGAAAGGGGTGTGTAAGACATGAAACACACAGGAGCGAAGAATGCCATTCAGTAAAAAATTCTGTATCATTCAGTACTCAGAAGATGGAAGCAGCCAAACTCACAGAAGACAGAAAGGTGAATTAACTCAAGCAAGCACAGTGACCCTCCATCACTCTGATTAAGCCATTCTTTACAGCATTAAGAAAATCCCCTTATAACCAGAAAACTTGTTTAGTGTAACATATTGGCTGCCTGCCCTTAGTCATAAAATATTTATTATTTGAGATAGGGTCATTAGTTTTTAGAATAGAAGACAATCAGGACAAATGCAATAATTATGAAAATTTTTGAAATGTACAAAGCACTGTACAAAAGAAAGGCATTGCCGTCATTAAAATCATCACAGAGGTTCATCGTACATATCTTCTTTTTTAATCTATAAATTATTATTATTTATTTTATAGTATCTTAAGTATTAAGACTAAGAAAGTAACGGAGTCGCAAAATGAAGAGGAAAGAAAGACAATACCTTTGAATCGTTCCTGGTTTCCAGTAAGATAAACAACCATACAAGTTTTGTAGGGCAAAAAAGATAACGGTACTAAAACATGAGATTTCTAAGGGAGAGGATGAATACACTAATTCAGCATTTATTCGCCTGTGCTCTAGCGTTTGTGTGTGTGTGTGTGTGTGTGTGTGTGTGTGTGTGTGTGTGTGTGTGTGGCATAATGCTCTACCTTGGTGAGAATCTGATATTATGAAAATACAATATGACACCTGAAAATAACTCCTGAAAAATCCAACAGTCTATTCCATAGGCTCTTACCAAGGAAATGTGAAAGGAGCCATATGAAAATATCCAAACACTGCATTTTTTTTTTTTTTGCTTTATGATTAAAAGTATGTGTCTTTTTTTTATTGTTGTGATTAAATGAAGTTTACATTTCAAGTTAGTCTTCCATACAGAATTTTTTTTAAACATACATTGTTATGAGACCCCAACTGCTCACCCCATTCTGAGACAGCACATTCCTCCCCTCCGCCCCTGATTCCCAATGAACATTCAACCAGCTCCTAACTCTCTCTGCCTTCCCCTCTCACCTCTGGACAGAAGCCACCCCTTTGGTCTCTTGTATCTACATGTCTAAGAGACACATTCTTCACAAGTATCACTTTATGTCCCACATTCCAGTCCAATCCCTGTCTGAAGAGTTGGCCTCGGAAACTGTTTTAGTTCTGGGGTGATGGAGAGACCAGGGGCCATGCTTTCCGGGGCACCTCTAGTCTCAGTCAGACCATTAAGTCTGGTCTTCTTAATAGAATTTGAGTTCTGCATCCCATCGTTCTACTGCTCCATCAGGGACCCTCTGTTGTGTTCTGTCAGGACGCTCATTGGTGGTGGCCCAGCACCATCTGGTTCTTCTGGTCTCAGGCTGATGAAGTCCTGGTTTATGTGGTCCATTCTGTCTCTTGGGCCAATACTTCCCTTGCGTGTATTTGGTGTTCTTCGTTCTCCTTTACTCCAAGTGGTTGGGACCAATTGATGCATCTTAGATGGCCGCTTGCAAGCTTTTAAGACACCAGACGCCACCCACCAAAGTAGGATGCAGAACATTTTCTCAATAAGGTTTGTTAGGCCAATTGACGTAGATGTCCCATGAAAGCATGGTCCCCAGACCCCACATCCCTGCTACTCTGTCTCTCAAAATATTTGATTGTATTGAGGAAACTTCTTAGCTTTGGTTTAGTCCAGTTGTGCTGGTTTCCCCTGTAGTGTGTGCTGTCCTTCCCTTCACCTAAGATCATTCTTATCTACTATCTAGTTAGTGAATAACCCTCACCCTCCCTCCCCAGCCCCGTACCCATCAAAGAATGTTTTCTTCTGTTTAAACCTTTTCTTGAGTTCTTATAATAGTGGTCCTATACAGTATTTGTCCTGTGACTGACTAAATTCACTCAGCATAATACGTTCTAGCTTCCACCAAGTTATACGAGGTTTCACAGCTTCATCATTGTTCTTTATCGTTGTGTAATATTCCATTGTGTGGATATACCATAGTTTGTTTCTCCATTCGTCCATCGATGGGCACTTAGGTTGCTTCCATCTTTTGGCTATTGTGAACAGTGCTGCGATGAACATGGATGTGCATATATCTATTCGTGTGATGGCTCTTGTTTCTCTAGGGTATATTCAAAGGAGCGGGATACCTGGATAGTATGGTACTTCTATTTCTAGCTTTTTAAGGAAGC